ACACACACACACACACACACACACACGCATACACACACGCACACACATACAAACAATCGCACATATAGACAATATATATATATATAGGCGCTACGTGCGCGCTCTCGCGTATATGTCTTTGAACACGCGCAGTATTTGATACCATAGGAAAACAGCTCAATGCTACACCTATACTAACACAGCTGACAATATAACAAAACTTTGCAATTATTCTTTTAAAAACAACAGAAAAAACAAACAAATAGAACTTACCTGCTCAGTCCATCAGCTCAAAGTTCGTCTGTCCCACTCTAGTGTGTTTCTGGGGCACGGAGGGTGAGCCAAGTGCGGCCTGACACTAGACACAACATTCACTTTCTCTCTGGGGAGCCCGAACCACGCTCACGACCAGAAAACACCTGACTCGAAGACTTCTACCTGGGACAGAACGTGATCTGCCTTCCAGCGCCCTTTCCGTGTATTCTTTCACTAGGTTGAAAACGGAACCGTTCTTCAGGAAGAGAAAAAGGCGTCAGTCACTACGATAGCTCGGGGGCCTATTTGAAAGTTGTAAAGTTCAGCTTCTCACCACACAAAACACCTGTCACGATTTGAGGGAAAAGACGGGATGATTTTAGTCTTCCGTTGACTCTTACCGTTGTTGCTAGCTTAGCTGATAAAACAACATTTCTGAGCTTACGATGTGATCTTGATCGACAGTTTTGTATAGCCCCTAGCCACAACGAAACTGAGGCTGTCACTTTTAACCTGTTTTCTCTTCTTTAATTCTGTACTGGTATAATTAACAACACTGCTCTTGGTTCATTCTTGTTGAATCCCGAGGAAAAAGTGGTCAGCTCTATTTGTGACGCAACTCTTGGTATCACAGAAAGGTCGATGTTCATTGAACCCTGTTACTATGATGCATTTACCATAAAGCTATAGCCTAGGGCGCAAAGCGAACACACGGTGTGGTGTGCAACATGAAATATTTATATCATCACTCTCCACCCCCAAAACAACACTCTTACAGGGTGAGCGCGCGCGTTAATGAATCTAGTGTGTTGTCGAATATAGGTTTGCACAACTTATGGGTGGAAATCAACGAATTGTCATCGTCTGTTCACAAGAAAATAAAAGCTTTGGAAGCTCAGACTAGGAGCCAATAAGAGTGGTTGTGCAGACTCGCGCTGTGGGCCCCCCTCCGCCTCTTCCTCGTCCGCCAAAACCTGTCTCCCTTCCTACCAACCCTCCCCCCTACCCCAACCCCACACGTCTCTCTCTCTCTCTCTCTCTCTCTCTCTCT